CTCTTTCTCTCTCACACACACACACACACACACACACACACACACACACACACACACACACACACACACACACACACACACACACACACACACACACACACACACTTTTTCTTTGTTCGTGTGCTTTAATAAAGTGTTCAACTGGTTATCTTTGTAAGTGCATTTTTTTGTGCTCTAATGACTTTAACGTGAGTATTTTAGAAAATATGACATTACACAAAAACTACAAAGTGAGCAAAAAATATTTTTATGCCTATTTGTGACACTCCAAGGCTGTGACAACTTACCCACAAAAAAGGTCATCTGGACATAACACACAAAAAATGATTTGATTTTTTCATTTTTTGTACAGTTTTCAAACTTCGGGTTTTGCTAATAAACCTGGCAATAAAGGGGTTAAATCTGAGAAACACACACATATTTTATTATATTTTGTTAGGGCTGAAGCCAAGGATGAAATTCATGTAAAAAAATTGGGACTTATGAAATATTATATAATATTTCTAAAGGAAGCTTTCTAAGTGCATTTTTTTGTGCTCTAATGACTTTAACGTGAGTATTTTAGAAAATATGACATTACACAAAAACTACAAAGTGAGCAAAAAATATTTTTATGCCTATTTGTGACACTCCAAGGCTGTGACAACTTACCCACAAAAAAGGTCATCTGGACATAACACACAAAAAATGATTTGATTTTTTCATTTTTTGTACAGTTTTCAAACTTCAGGTTTTGCTAATAAACCTGGCAATAAAGGGGTTAAATCTGAGAAACACACACATATTTTATTATATTTTGTTAGGGCTGAAGCCAAGGATGAAATTCATGTAAAAAAATTGGGACTTATGAAATATTATATAATATTTCTAAAGGAAGCTTTCTAAGTGCATTTTTTTGTGCTCTAATGACTTTAACGTGAGTATTTTAGAAAATATGACATTACACAAAAACTACAAAGTGAGCAAAAAATATTTTTATGCCTATTTGTGACACTCTAAGGCTGTGACAACTTACCCACAAAAAAGGTCATCTGGACATAACACACAAAAAATGATTTGATTTTTTCATTTTTTGTACAGTTTTCAAACTTCGGGTTTTGCTAATAAACCTGGCAATAAAGGGGTTAAATCTGAGAAACACACACATATTTTATTATATTTTGTTAGGGCTGAAGCCAAGGATGAAATTCATGTAAAAAAATTGGGACTTATGAAATATTATATAATATTTCTAAAGGAAGCTTTCTAAGTGCATTTTTTTGTGCTCTAATGACATTAACGTTAGAAAATTTAAACGTTGGGTAAGGGTTAAGAGTCACAGAACGTTGCCCGCTAGCATGATGTCGATGCCAAAACAACCTAAACAAAGAGGAGACTTACCTCTTACATCAGGAAGAAGCCGTGTGTTTCGAGCGTTATCCGTTCTTTCATAATCCGTTGTCGAATTGTGATCGGCAGACGCTTCTCCGGTTCGCGCCTCACTTTTTTTACAGGAACGGCCCAAAACGATCTCCAAACACATGGATGGTCTGCTTCCTGATCATGTGATCTGTGACGTATGCGGATGAAGATCGGCTTCAGGGCTGAGATGTTTGTTCTCTCAGCGCGGTGGCTCGTTCCGATGCTCAAACAGTAAAAAAATGCAAATGACGACTTTAGTCGTCATTGGCAGTGAATGAGTTAAGTAGGAAATTTTAGTAATCTTTCCACCTCTGCTTTTTAGGGAGTGTGTTATGAAATCACTGTGCTTCCCTTTGGTCTCTCTCGAAGTCCGAGGGTATTTGTCAGGTGCATGAAGGTGGCGATCGCCCCACTGAGAGAGAGGGGCATTCGACTGGCCACTTATTTGGAGGACTGGCTCCTGCTGGCACGGTCCAGGGAGGAGGCCACGTCACATGCTGATCGTGATCCATCACTTGTGTGGTCTGGGTTTCAGAATAAACAGATTTTCAGTGCTGGGTGGCTGTTCTGGGACTTTCTCCAGTGCGCCACAGAGCGCACTGGGTGACGCTTTCCGCAGCGTGCATCATGGCGCTTCGCTGCTGGCATCCTCCCTCACTCTTGACACAGGGGGTGCCTTTGGGCATTGTTCTCGTATGAAAAGTAGTCCCAACAGATGCGAGCCTGTCAGGTTAGGGGCCTCCTGTGAGGGGTGTGTGGAGCAGAGAGCTCTGGGGAACACTGGCCTGCACTCAGTTTGCACCAGGTGATTAGAGGGCATCGCAGAAGCCCCACCCTGCCTTTGTGCCTGAGGTAGTGGGCTCCTTTTCTCCTATTCTCCTCACAGCATTCTACCGCCACCTTCTCCTGAGGAGTGGTTGCAAAAACTGTGTCCAGTTCACACACTCAAGGAGTACGTTAATCAGACGGTGAGCTTTTGCAGGAGCAACCAGCTCTTTATGTCATGGGGAGGACCTTGTAAGGGGAAACTATCACGAAGCAGTGGCTTTCCTACTGTATTGTGGAGGCCATTTCTCTGGCTTACTCCTGCCAGTGCATTCAGGCACCTGTAGGGCTCAGGGCCCATTCTACTAGGGGCCTGTCTGCATCTTGGGTACTTTTTTGAGGGCTGTCTGTCCAAGAGATCTGTGCTGCAGCAAGTTGGGCTTCTCCACTTGTATTTGCATGTTTTTATAAGTTTGACGTCTCAGCTCCTGCTATGACCCACACAATTCTGATTGTAGGGTCCTCAGCAATCTAAGACATATCCGCAGAGGGACGTATCCCATAGTGAGACATCTCTCGTGTTACTCAGAGAACTGGGGTTACGACAGTAACTTAAAGTTTTCAATCTCAGTTTAATCCTTAAATGTACACAAAGCACCTGCATTGGTCATGCTTTCGCCATTTCATCATGATGTGGTGTTTTTCCTCACAATGACAACCTTCCCCACTTTTGTCTGTTGTTAAGCAACCTCTGGGGCTATTTCTCACCCGCTATATGCTGCAGATTCATATGCTTGTCATCAAGTTTTTCCAGCTGCACAAACATGTCTTACGCACGCCGACAGCTGTTTTAAGACCCGGTAAGGTGGAAGCTTTGTAGTCCGTTCTGGGTTGGTTCCGAACCAGTGTGGCGTTTACATCGGGCTCCACCTTTAATCCAATAAGTGTTAACTTAAAGGGCAGAACTATGCGACAGAACGTTGGTTATGTATTTTAACCCCAGATTCTGAGTATAGAGTAGCCTTTTAGGCATCCTGGCCCCACTGGCCCCTTTATAGGGCCAGGACCTGCCTAGTGGGTGCATTCACAAAAAGCTCTTCACAATAGGATAAGGGAATGGAGATTAATCCAATAGGCATTAGTTTAAAAGGCTATGCTATACTCATAAATTCTGGGGTTAGAATACTTAGACAACAATTCTATACATAAGACGAGTCATACACAGTAAGTTGATAAGTAGTTAAATACATTTCAACGTAGGTTGAGATATTTTTAGAGCAGGCTATTTGTTCCTAACTCACAGTTAGAATTGTTAGCTTAATATTAGCCTCTAGCCTTCGATATTAGAGTAAAATTAAAAAAGGCCATGGCTTCCTTGGATTACAAGAAATAACTTCTGGGTCACTCCTGTTTACTAGCTTAGAATCTTAATAAAATACTGCTACTTGCTGGTGTCAAATTACAAATGTAGCATGCTGCAGCATTAGCTTGGCGCAGACTCTGCAACCCTGCAGACTCACAGATTGTAAACTGTGGGTGTTTCTCAATGCCAAGGAACCTTGCCTTGATGTCTTGGCCCCGCCCCGGTTGCCTAGGAGAAACGTCATTGGGAGCCACCAAGACGTGTTCCTATCGGTTCCAATGTTCATGTTCTACCGAGGCATGTGTTCTCAGTTTGTTAGCCGTTTAGCTAGCTGAGCAAGGATACACGGGAGGTGTCTTGTAGCCTAGCCTTGGTCAAAAATTACCCACAATACACTGTGGTATTTTCAAAAAGACTGCGGATCAGAAGCCAGCAGCTACTTTGGGTACAATTTTCAAGTTTAAAGTCAGCTAATTTAAAATGTTTTTTTTTAGATCCAAAGAAGTTATCTATTGTTGGTTAGTTGCTTAGTAGTTGCAGCTTTGGTGGCTAGCAGGTAGTAACTTGCTTATATTTTTAATTTAATAAACATATACACAATGTAAAAAGTAAAAGTCTTGTTATATATTTATAATGAAACTAATACATATAAAATATAACATCATCTCCCGTGTCATGTGACGTTACGTGACCGCCGTGGTCATGTGATGCAAGTCTGTTCCATTTAACCGTTTTCTTTGACCAAGAAAGGACAGGATACTCGTAAGTAAAGTGCCTGGCCTTGCAAGACATCGCCTCGCAAGGCAAGGCGCCTTGACATTGAGAAACACCCAGTGACTATGTCCCTCTTTGTAGGAGAAAAACTGACAACCCAGTTGACTGAGAAGGAAATCTGTTTCAAAGTAACTTTCCTTCCAACATGACTGAGACACTAGAATGTTTTGTGATCATTTTACTGAAGAATTCCTACATATTTTAACTTTAAATGTTTATCAAACTTGAACAATTTTCAGTTGGTGCTTTGTAGGTGTGGGATGAACGATTAACACAGGATGATTGAAGGAATGAATGAATGAATGAGATGTTGTATAGGTGTACAACCTGTGGCTGTTGACTCAAGTGGTTCTTTGGACCGTCCATAATGGCTCTAAAGAGCTTTGACTAAAAATGATTGTTTTAAAAACGTACTCGTGTTTTTAAACGTATAATAAAAAAGATAAATTGATCCTTTACATGAGGTCCCATGAGAGCTGCAGCTGTGATCATGTTTTATTTCAGTTGACTGAGGGGGAAAATGTCTCTGTGGATTGTAAATTGTAAATAAGTTGGAGACCCTTGTTGTGTAACCTCCACGATGTGTTCATGAGTTCAGAAAGGTGTATATCATGTGATATTTAGACCTCCAGGGTTCTGGCAGCAAGAGCAGTCTTCTGGAACCTGATAAGGAGAATTTTCAGATCCTTTGACTCACATTTTAGAACTTTGACAGCCACCTTCTGTAGAGAAGAGTCCTCCGTCTTCAGGATAGCCTCACGCACTGAGCCAAACTCACCTGTCCAGGTAAACACACAGCAGCAGACTGTAATGCCTTCATTTCTGGGTCATTTTTTTATATTTCTAAACTCTGACTGTTTAACACATGCTGGGAGCTCATGAAAGAAAAATTCTGAACATTAAGAGGTTTGTTTCTGACCTATAAAACATTTTAACATGTTTATTAGACATTCTAGATAAATCATGAAATAGTATCCAACGATAGTTTGTGTGCATGTGTGTGTGTTAGTCTTTCTTCATTTAGTTGCTTCTTGCTTTATGTAGCTACTTTGCAGTGGGATATTGTGTTACTAGGCCTCAGAAGTCAAGACTGACCTTTTGAAGGTCTGTGTTCATGAGCACATCCTATATCATTGTTCTATATTGTTAGCAGTATTGTTCCTAATTTGATGCAAAAAGTGAATCCTGTGAATCTTTGTTGTTGACAACAGATAAAACTCCTTTATGATTCAATTATGAATAATAATGCCGAGCTACATGTCTTGCAGGAAGTTAGAAGTGTTATCACATGCTGCTCATTTGTCAAGGTCCTTTCAAAATAAAATGTTAACATTAAAGTGCATGTTTGAAAAAAATAATAATAATAACATGGATAACAAGGCAAAAGCTGTTGTGTTACCTTTCCCCAGCGTGCGTCCCAGGGTCAGAAGACGTTCTGGAATCAGGACGTCCTGCAGCTTGTCCTTCAGCTCGTTGTTGATGCAGAGAGCGTCCACTAGAAGGTGAGTCAGGAGGAGAGCCTTTCAGCTTCTTGTGGTGTTTCAGGATCAATACATGTTTCTACAGATTGTTGATGATTACCCACACAGGCCTGAACCCACACACAGTTAAGACGTTCTGTTATTTCTCTCTTTTCTCCTCTGTGTATGTGTCTGTGAGCAGATGTGTGTGTTTTATACACTAACAGCAAAAACCAAATACATCTTCAAGTTCTTCCATCTGTGACAGTGACTGTGAATGACCTGAACCAGGAAAGCTGGTCACGTTCAAAAACTTTCCCTGGAAACAATAAACAAAGATCATCTCTCTTCTGGCTAAAACTGTTCTGAAAACATCTTCATCAGCTTCCTCTTCTTCAGCAGAAGAGAAGCATTAAAACACCACAGAACCGATGCAAGTTTCCCCGAGTTGAAATTTAAAATGATCAAACTGGGAAAGTAAATATATCTAAAATATTTTGCAGCTCTGTGTAGCTCTGAGGCCTCAGCAGCATGCAGGTTTGTTAGTCCTTCCCCCTGAAATAAAATAATCTTTTGAAACGTGGAAAATTCTATTTAAGCTTTTTAAAGGATTTCCTGCTATTATGTTTACTTTCTCACGTACAACTTTTTATTCCTTATTCTTCTTTTCTCTTGTTTTAAATGTGATCGCTGCTTTCTGTTCTATTCTACAGCCACGGTGAGGAACTACAGCTGAACTGAAACTGAGTTACCAAGAACCCGGTGTTAAATCTAAATGATCCACGAAAACCAGCTGTCGAGGTCTAGAACTACAGGTAGAAACTAGTTTGTATGATGCAGAAACAAGCTGTTTAATCTGTATCAGACCATATGAAGTAAAACCAATGAAAACATTACTGATGCACCAGCAGGAAGAAGCCGAGCCAGAATGTAAGTAAGACTGTTTCTCCTCTTAACCTGAAGCACCCACATCCTCCATGTGGAGGTAACTGTCAGCATTTGCTGCTGACGTAGGAGGTCTCACACTCACAGGTAGATTCCTGCAGGTCTGTCATGTTTCTGCTGAACGACTGAGCTGCTGTGAAGAAGACTGAACTTTCAGCACCAGGACTTTTAAAGGCTGAACTGAAAATACAAAGAATTTTACAGGTTTAGTCTCTTGCCCTACATGTATCTTAAGGTGTTTACCTTTATACGTATTCTAGGTCTTCCTACCCAAACTGTGTCTCCTTCCCTCGGCGCTGTGCCACAAATGTCAGCAACAAGCCGACCACAGTGGCCACCAGAAGGCCAAGCAGGAGGCCGACCCACATGTGGCTCCGGCCCACCTGGATCTGTGCTGAGGGACCAGCAGACAGGCAATCATCAGTCAGAGAACATTAGCATCCATCTAAAACAGCCAGAAATCAGATGAGAACTCTTCTTGGATCAGTCTGTTTTAGGCTGAACTGCTCGAAACATTGCTTCCACGTTAAAACAACAGAAAAAAAGTTCCAGCTGCTCCACCGTCATTCATCAAGGAGTCCAGCAGCTCCCACTGTCTGACTGGAGACAGTGGACAGGTGACTTCTGTTCAACTGAACCAAAAAGACACTCGGAGCTTACCTGAGGCGGGCAGCACCAGAACGGGGGGGCTCCAGGGTCCACAACCCACTGAGGTGCAGGCGGATACCTGGAAGGAGGCGTTAAAGAAACGGCCTCCGCCTGAGAGACGAGCCCAGTTCTCTTTAAACAGCAGCGGTTCCTAAAAACCCAGGAAACATCACTATGGTTACCAGGGACAAGTCACACTGACTAAACCCCTGATTATCAGAACAGTTTGAGGAATGATTATCAGTACGCTGAGGACTCAGGTAAAGTCGTAGAACTAGGAAATTTCAGCTGTCCACAGTAAAAGTTAAAAGCAAACTTTTATTCATTTCCATCTAATTTAGTTTATTTATTTAATCTTATTTTTTTCATCAGTGTCTTGTTATTAATGTTTATTCAATAATGAACATTTAGCTATTTTTTTTCGTACTCCTTCAGACTGCATCACAGCAGTCACCCCCTTCCCCCCCACCTCCTCTTGGGTATATTCCCTAAGACACTTCTGACAGAGACGAACACCCGCATTTCAAGAGGAAACAAGATAATGCTAAACATCAGTCATTGTTTTCTAGGTCCAACTGTGTTTTTCTGTTTGAGACTTGGGTAGTTTGTCCTAAAGTTGAAGTGGTAACAGCCAGCAGTTTTTCTTTCTCTGATATTATTACCCTTCCCTGGGCTACCACCTTACCGTGGTGGAGGGGTTTGTGTGTCGCAATGATCCTAGAAGCTAAGTTGTCTGAGGCTTCATGTCTCTGGTGACCCATGGCAAACAGGTCCTAGGTGAGGGATCAGACAAAGTACAGGCCAAACACCCCTTATGATGATTACCTCAGATAGAAACAGTGTTCCCTCGCCCGGACGTGGGTCACAGGGGCCCCCCTCTGGAGCCAGGCCTGGAGGTAGGGCATATCGACGAGCACCTGATGGCTGGGCATTCACCCATGGAGCCCGGCCGCCCACTGCCCGAGGAGGAAACATGGGTCCCCCTTCCCAAAGATTCACCACTTGTGGGAGGGCCAAAGGGGTCAGGTGCAGTGTGTGATGGGTGCTGGCCAGAGGCAGGGACCTTGGTGGTCTGATCTTCGGCTACAGAAGCTGGCTCTTGGTACGTGGAATGTCACCTCTCTGGTGGGTTTATGTTTATGTTTATGTTTATGTGCTTAGCAGACGCTTTTACCCAAAGCGACTTACAATTTTTTTTTTTTTTACCTTTAGGGCATGTTGTGATCTGTGGGGGAAACCGGAGTACCCGGAGAAAACCCACGCATGCATGGGGAGAACACGCAACTCCACGCAGAAAGGCGAGTTTTGAACCTGCGACCTTCATGCTGCGAGGCAACAGTGCTAACCACTGCGCCACCATGCAGGGTAAGGAGCATGAGTTGGTATGTGAGGTTCCAACTAGACTAGACATCCGGCACCTCAGGAGAGGAAAGCAGTGCGCTACCAACACTGTTTTGTAGTGGGGATGGTGTGCTGCTGATCTCGACTCGGAACGTTGTGGATCGGTGGTCTGAGTACTTCGAAGGCCTCCTCAATCCCACAGGCATGTCCGGAAGCAGGGTCGGACGAATATGGGTTGGGCTCTCCAATCTCTGGTGCTGAAGTCACTGAGGTGGTCAGAAAGCTCCTTGGTGGCAAGGCTCCGGGGGTGGATGAGATTCGCCCAGAGTTCCTTAATGGTCTGGATGTCGTAGGGTTGTGTTGGCAGACATGGCTCTGCAATATCGTGTGGACATCGGGGTCAGTTCCTTTGAATTGCCAGACCGGGGTGGTGGCCCCCTATTTAGAAAGGGGGACCGCAGGATGTGTTCCAACCACAGGGGATCACACTCCTGTGCCTCACTGGTACACGGAGTTGTGGAGAGGAAGGTCCGGTGGATTGTTGAACCTCGGATTCAGCAGGAGCAATGTGGTTCTCGTCCTGGCCGTGGAACATTGGACCTGCTCTATACCCTTAGGAGGGTCCTGGCGGGTGTGGGGGAGTTTGCCCAACCAATTTACATGTTTTGTGTATTTGCAGAAAGCGTTCAACTGTGTCCCTCTGCGGCCCTTTGGGGGGTACTTCAGGAGAATAGGGTACCAGGGCCTCTGGTATGGGTTGTTAGGTCCCTATATGACCAGTACCAGAGCTTGGTTCGCATTGTCAGCAGTAGATTGGGCATGTTTCCGGTGAGAGTTGGACTCCACTAAGGCTGCCCTTTGTCACCGATTCAGTTAATAACTTTTATGGACAGGATTTCTAGCTGCAGCCAAGGTGTTGAGGGGATCCGTTTTGGTGGCCTAAGGATTGAGTCTATGCTTTTTGCAGATGATGTGGTCCTGTTGGCTTCATCAGAACGTGATCTTTGGCTTTAACTGGAGTGGTTTACAATCTGGGATGAGAATCAGCTCCTCTAAATTTGAGACCATGGTCTTGAGTCTGAAAAGGGTAGAATGCTTATTCCAGGTCAGGGATGAGGTTCTGCCTCAAGTGGAGAAGTTATCTCAAGTCGTTCATGAGGTGGTAAGGCGTTTTCTGTTCCCTGTTTTCAGTGTTGCACTACGTGCAGCTGTTTGGTGTTTGGGGCTCGCTAAAACCGATTTATTTTCTCTGTACTAGGATGTCTCTGAGTTATTGTAGCACATAAGCACGCTAAAACACACATTTTCTGTTGTTCCACCTAGCTTGTAAGGAACCATTTGAGTTCGCACGCAGTTTATTTGGTGTTGAACAGTTTGCTCGTCCAGTTAGCTTAGCCTCAGCATGGTTATGGCTACTTCTATCTCTGCTTCTCCGTCTCCTATCTCTTGCTTTCTGTGTCAGATGTTTAGTTACTCCTCTGCCTCCTTAAGTGATAATGGTATGTGTAATAAATGTAGCATTTTTGTAGCTTTGGAGGCGAGGGTGTCGGAATTGGAGGCTGTTGAAAAGCCTGTAAACAGCCGTAGCTATTTAGCTAGCGTAGGGCTAACTAGCTCTGAACCACCCCGTAGCGATCCTCCAGCAGAACCCAAGCAGCTGGGACCTCAGGCCGGCTGGGTGACGGTACGCAGGAAGCATAGAACCCAGCCCGTGGGCCACCACCAACCCATCCACTTTCTAGAACCCTTTTCAGATAGACATTCTGGAATATGTGTGGACAATTCAATCCGGTTTTTAACCGGAACTGTGTTTTCAGACACACCACTTATGTACCGGAACTTGTCCTCAGTGTTGCCAACTGTTTTTGACTGAAAGTAGCTGAAGTTCCCCCCAAAAGTCACTAGATGTCACCAAATGACGTCATGTGCTAATTTGCATACAACACAATGACGTCATCTGGTGTGCGTGACGACGTCACCACGTTTGCTTCATGACGTCACCGGTCTTGTAGAGTAAATCAAATAAAACCCACGTGATTTAAATTTTTTTTAAATTTATGTTTTAATATTTTATTCAAACAAAAACCCCATAGAATACAAAACAGCAGCCTTTAAAACATCAAGGAAAGATGGCACAAAAAAATGGAAGGAATATTTATATTTTGTCTGAAGAGAATGGAACTCTTAAACATAAAAATATTAAATTGATAGGAATGTATGTATGATTGAATTAAAATGAATTTTCTCTTGTAGATTTCAAGTGCCTTGAGATGTATTCTTCTGTTGTGATTCAGTGCTATATATTGACCTAAAAGATTATATATATATATAAAGTTTGTTTTTGTTTGGTTTTGTTGTTTTTAGTACTTTTGTGTAAAAAGAAGCAGGTCGTATTTAGTATTCAGAAACTTTACATGCAAACTGCCAATGACCTGCTAATGACTTTCAGTATTATTCTGTTTTTTATAAAAGTTTTAAATGTGCTACGTTACTGAACTCATCATAGAGTTCCAATGTTCTTTGAATGTACCACAAGTGGTGTGAGAAGCCATAAGTGAGTGCGACGCTGGTGCCAGCCGAGCTCAGCTGCCAAAATGCGGCAGGATGGCAGAAGGAGCGGTCGCCCTTTATGTAGCTCCGGTGGCTATCTCAAATAATGGACCTGTGAAAACCCACAAAAGGTTTGATTGGCCAATGGGGTAGCGTGATCATGCTGCTTGCACATGCGCAGATCATTTTCTTTCTGATCCTCTGGAAGGAAGGACGGTCCTGTCGCTTCAGATGCCTCGCTAATCTGCAGGTAAAGTCTGCTACAAAGCTGTAGTCAAAGTAGCTGAGGGGGGTCGGAAATAACGCCAGATTTGTCGCTAGGCGCTTTTTAAAAAAAAAAAGTCGTTAAGGGGGTCTGAAAAGTTGTTCGAAATGGTGACAAAGCGGCTAAGTTGGCAACACTGCTTGTCCTTTCGGCTGCCTTCACATAGCAGGGAAAAGTTCCGGATGTCTGGGGAAGGGGGGGGGGGGGGGATCGGACTTACGTTAAGCATAATTCTGCGCACACGAAGATGCATAAGAGACCTGGATGATGAAGCTCAATGGTTAAAGTAATCACTGAAGCGGTGTGAAGCGCTCCATCGCACGTCTAGACGGTACCGTAGGAGGCAAGCTGCCATGGTTCGCCGCATGCTACAGGAGCGAGCTATCTAGGTGCGCACAGCGTCCCACGGCCCCCTCCTCCTCCCCCTCCTCCCTGTCCGGAACTCGACCTCACCAGTCTGAAGCAGACACCTTGTCCGTAACAAGTTCGGACCTGTTACTAGGGGCTTCGTCCGGTTTAATTACGGAAAACGTTATCCGGATGTTTGTATTCAGACACAAAGGTCTTACGGACAGAGTCCGGAACATTTCCGTTTTTCATGACCTGTCTGAAGGGGGCTTAACAGATTTTCCCCCCTCAGTGACGCACCCACTGACACACCAACTCTGATCATTGGAAGTGCCATAGTCAGAAGCGTGGCATTAGAGATTCCAGCAACCAAATGTTTACCTGGGGGCCAGAGTGGGTGACATTAAATCTTACCTGAAACTGCTGGCTAAGGATAAGCGTAAATACAGTAAGATTGTTATTCACGCTGGCGGTAACGACACCCGGTTACGCCAATCGGAGGTCACAAAATTAATGTTGCTTCGGTGTGTAAGTTTGCCAAAACAATGTCGGACTCCGTAATTTTCTCTGGCCCCCTGCCTGATCGGACCAGTGACGACATGTTTAGCCGCATGCTGTCCCTCAACAGCTGGTTGTCTAGGTGTTGT